GTTGCAAATGGTATTTTTCCCTTACATGAGTCGTGGCCGGGATGAGGACACGTGGGGGGGGGCGGTTGCTGGTCAAGTGAGTGGCCGAGAATCGGTCGATGTCACTTCTGGCAAGGGGGGGAGAAGGGCGCAGAGTCACGAGGTCCAGCGAGCTGTCACATCTCAATAAAGCCTAACCCCCCCTTTCTTCCCTCCTTGGGTGACCGAGGCGTTGGGAGTTCTGTTGTACTGTACAGAAGCAGCCCGATGGTCGATGGTGCGTGCCATGGCCGTCGATGAGCCCCAAGCATACACACACACACACACCTGAGCTGGGTCTTGCCGCTTTTAGCTACCAGGGGTTCGCTCCCGCGAAGTCTGTTCACACACATGTGTTCACACGCGCGCGCGTCCTCGTTCGATGGAGAGCGAAGGCTCCTCACTGCCCTCCTTCGCGGCAGCTCGCACGGCAGTGGCGCCCCTTGAAAGTTCAGCGGATCGCCTCCATCGCCTGAGAATTTGGAATCTTCAAGCCTTGCGCTTGGCTTCAGAGTGGATACGTGCTGTCTGACATGTCTGGCGTCTGCGCCTCCAAACCATGGGAAAGGGGGTCATCAGGGAGGGCACTGGCGTTCTAGCCGCAGGCTTCTGTGGGATTCCTACACGCACGGTCTTCTCCCTCGACGGAACAGCTGGTTAGGAACAGCCAAGTAGGGCAGGCCTCCGTTTCGCCGCCGTGACGAGACGTGCGAGCGAGGCATACTCGCCGCGCGCCGGTCCGCGAACTGCCGGGTATGCCTCCGTGCTCGCAAAGCAAGCTTTGACGGCGTCCCGACGGCCGCTGCACCACCAGCGATGATGGATCTCGTTCTACTTTGACAAAATTGAGACACCACCTATCAAAGCCCGTGCAAGAGCTTACGCGTGCGCTGAAGGCGCTCGGCTGGTTTGCCGACACAGCCTCGGAGAAGCCTGCATCGCCATCCCTCGCTCGGACGAGCTCTCCAGAAGTTCAAGTAGTTCCGTGCCGGGCGTTTATACAAGACCAGGCGTTGTCAGTACTTTGTACTATCTTCCAGGCGCTAATGGGTTTCCCTCTTCACAGTGCGGTGGGCATGCAAATAAATGTCAATCGCTTACGCGTTCCCTTCGGTGGTGGTGAAATAGGCAGTTGATTCGTTGGGTGATGACTCTGGCCAAGAACATCTTGTAGGTAAGTTAAATGGGGCGCCTTCTTCGAACAGCAGGTGTTTCCAGCAAACATGTCGGAGAGCCTAAATGTTGTTCCGGGATATTGCTATGGCTGGGGTGGGTGGCATACCAAATGTACGGGCGTTGAAAGGTGATCAGTGTATGTTTAGCTCCGATCACACCTTTGCCGACGAGCTGAAACATTCGAGTTGGTACTATAGAACCGATGCATAAGAAGGAGGCGACACAAATGGTCTCATATCGATCTTTGTGCCTGGACTCTCCTTGGAGTTGCTGCAATATCTGGTACAACGGAGGCACAACTCCTTACGCGTCACGACAACATCTCAAAATAATTGAATACATTTGAACACCTGTTCATCCTCCCTTTGTCTTGAAACCTATCAGCTGGGCCTGATATACAAGACCTTGCTTCACCCAGTGCGCCTCGTCTCCTCTGACACAGACCCTTTAACGAACGCCTACCATCCAGCCGAAGATCTTCGTCTGACTACATCAGCCCCTGACTATTAAGTAATGAAGCCTCTACATGGAGGCTCACTGCGAGAACCAGGTTCGTAGTAAGAGTTCATAATATCAAATGATGGGCTCGGTGGGATTCTCGTCACGTACATGACCTCCGTCTTTCGCACACTGTTTGAAGTCGTAGTCGACGCTCTGGTGTTGAGGAACGAAATATTGGAGACACCGGCTCCATGACAAAGGTCATAAACTTGTCCACTAGACGCTTCCGACCTGTACCTAATGATCATTAAAGCGTGGACGGGCTAGCTCGCCTGCTCAACAGTTCGAGGGCGACATGAGATGACAGTAGCGGAGGTCCCTCGTTGGGAGTACTATCTTGTTCTCTTCTCCGCTCATGTCCGCACCAAGGCTACAGGCTTCAAGGAGGCGTCATTAATATACCCAGAAACTCTGTCGGATGGGCCGAAACGTAACATCCTCAGAAGCCTCGGGGCGCAAGGCTGGAAATTCAACCCCAGGAAGCATGCATGCCGAGATGTCTGGGAGGTCGAGTCGTTGCGTGCGTGACACATTGTCCTCTCTTCCCCGTCGTTTACACTTCTTCTCGCAGCAAAGCTTATAAGTTGTGATATTTGACTTTGTTACACAAGGCCCAAAGGCTGTATATTTCGCTCGAAGCAAGCCACGATGTGGCCTGACACTCTCGAATAGATGGGGAGGACTACATCGTCATGCCCGGGTCACGACGTCAGGGACTGTCGAAGCTGGGTTATAGCGGCAAGGCGGGCGAGCTAGCGTCCGTTGAGGGCCAGGAGAGTGGCAGTTTGTCAGCAATCAGCGAACCAGATCAACAGTGTCAACCTTTCAATGTCCACTTCTGTCGATCTCACAAGTAAACCCCAGCAAGGCAGTCGGCCACAGCTCTTCCAGGGACCTTGTGTAGGGCCCGCAAGGGTCGACAAACAGGCTGTGCTCACAACGGCTGACTGAAGCCATGCGGGCAGCCGTTTTGAACGAGGGCGAGTCACTTTGTGGATTCTGCGCAGCTGTCTTGGGTGTGGGGGGCTCGTGTATGTGGTGGGAGACCATTAGGTGGGTGGCTGCCCCTTGCCTAGGTAGGCAGACAGGGCAGGATCCGGGTTGTTGAACCAACGTAGCTACCTAGTAGGAGCGAAGTTGAGGTAGGGATGGGCGGGTCGCGACAGGGGATGAGGGGTCGGCGGCCCGTGTCCGGGGAGGAGGACATTGGGGTCGCAAGTAAGGCCCTTGTCTAGACCAAGAGGAGGAGGGACTTGACGGCAGCCTCAAATAGAAAGGGAAGTCAAACCTATCATATGACTCTCAACAGTCATCTGGCACGTGCGGCCAACAATGTTTGACCTCGCATGGTGGGTAGATGATGAGCAGAGTCGGGCCTGCATTGCCTCATTGCCTCGGTGTGCATCGTGCTCAGCACCTCATTGTGCACCAACAAGGAAGTTGGTAGTTCAAGAGAGGGGCGAGGAACTCTGATGAGGTTGAGGGGCAAACCACCGCACCGCATATGATGAATACCAGCCCAAGGCGCATCGCATCAGTCGGCGGGTCCATGTCCTGGCTCGCGGTTTCTGACCCTGATAGGCGCCATGCATGGTGCCACGAGGAGGAGGGAGGGGGGGGGGGGGGGGCGCCCGTGGACCTCCTCTCCGCCGACATGGGGACGGCGTCCGAATCGGACGAGGTACAGCGGAATGTGCTGATGGCGGGACGGTCAAGGTGACATTGGTTTCTTGGTGGTGACTCGACGTGCTGGGACGGATGATCTTACTATCGAAAGTGTGGGTGAATTGAAGAAAGGAGCCCTTGGCACAGTGAGGGAGGCGACAATGTGCGACGCTCCAGGCTGCGGGTCGCATATCCTGTGATGAGAAGGATTTCTGCCATGTTGCGTAACAATGGCTTCCGTCGCGAGCCTTCTCGAGTCGGATGGCTGCTGAAGTGCACCTGTTTTGAGGTGATACGACCCAGTTGTCGATGCTGAGGCCGGTTCGAGACAAGTAGGAGCTGTAATTTCGGTGCAAGAACAGCTTTTGGTAGCTGACGGGGTTTGCTCAGCCAGTCAGCGAATCTGAGGTGATGATGTGTCCAGCACAGATGCGGTGCCTGACTTGGGTCAGTGCTTCTCAAGGTGTCCACGGCCCAATGTGGCCCATTTGACTCGTCAGCGAGCTGAGATTTACTCCAAAGTCAAGTTGTCATGATGATGAACGACGACATCGTTCCTCTTGACTCCTACCCTGGTCAAAAGCGGCGATATGGGGCAAGAGCTTTCAGCGGGCTGTCGGGTGGCTCCTGGTGAGGATGCGACAGGCTAGTCTCTGCGCTGCAAGATCATGTCCCAGGCCCTTGCCCTTTGCCCTTTGCCGTCCGCCCAGTGGCACCTACGGCCATGGATGTCGGGGTGCACCTTCCCTGCCCTGCCCTGCCTTCCCTGCTCGTAACCGTTGTCCGCTGTCCTGGCCGCCTGCGTCTGCCCTTTCCGCACCATTGCTCTGTCGCTGTTGCCGTCTTCCTCCTGGGGTCATGGTTGCTGCTCTGTGCACTTTCCCGGTGGACGATTGCCAATTGCCAATTAACAGTGGGCCGGGGCCCCCTTCTCCGTCTGCCCCCCGGCCCATCCAGTCAAGCCCATGTCGACTTGACCTGCTTTGTTGCCGACCCCAACTTCTAGTTCCCAGCGATTCCAAGACCGTGTCTTCGCCTCTTCTCGCCCCTCTGGCTTGTGCCAAACACGTTGGCCATCTCTCACTGTCTCTGGCGTCGCAAGAGAGCAATCCCTCGTTCTTCAGACGGCACAATCCGCAAGTCTGGCTCACTCTGTCTGCGGCCGCGCAAATCAAAGCAGATTGTTCAAAAGCCGAGACGAACTCACCTGGATACTGGCGTGACGCTTGGTTGGCTTGTTGCAGTCCCGCAACCTTCATTATTGCCGGATGAACGTCAACGAGGCATCGAACCTCATGCCGTCGCTTTACCGACACTAGACTTGGGTGCCAAATTGGGCGGCCGGCGAACTCAAAAGCAAAAGGACCCAATCCTTTTGATCGCACTAACCTAGCTGCCACGGGACTAGGGGAACTGTAACCCCCCGAGACCTTGAAAAGCAAAGAGCCTCCCCGGATGAGCATGGCAAACTGAGTTCGGCACGATATCGACATTACCAAGCACCCACTCGAAGGTGAGGTGGCCAGTTGTCCACCAACAGCCTGGGCTCTACGTATCGTGGACATCAATGGTCTTCGCCAATTCGCCAATCTGCTCCGCTGATGATAAAGAGCTGCCCTGGAACATCACCAACGTTCACCATGCGTCCACGGGCGAATCAGGCCGTTCATTCACAGGTCTATCCTCCAGTTGCTTCCGATCCCTCACATGATCATGCCCTCGGGATGACCTCGCCGGCTCTCGAAGGTGGTGTTCAACATCTGAACCCTCAAAGCCGCCAAACCGGGACAGAGGCCAGCGCTTCAGCCACTGCTGGTCTCAATCATCACGATGCTATGCATCCACAGCCTATTGCCCCACCGAATCTACCCATCTCAGGCCTCACCACCGTTCAGACTCCCGCGCACTCAATATCAGTACCTGGTGAGCTGCATGAGCTTCAAGAGTATCATGAGCAGAATGTTGCCGACGGCACCGAAGGTGCTCTAGCACTGCAGGCGAACCATGAAGCATTCAACGCCGTTCCCATGGCGATGCAGCATACACAACACGTCAGCATGCAGTTGGCTGACCCCCATCTCGAAGGCCTGCTCGAACCAACCAACCCGGGTGCCACTTCGGGGCCACTCTCTCACATTGAGACTCTTTATCCCCCCCACCTCACCGATTCACCTCATGCCCCGATCGATCCGGTGGTGGTGAACTCCGAAGACCAGTCCTTCCTTCTGACAGCCCTTCCGCCCGTACAGCCAGCATTCGGAAGTCTCAATGCACCTGGAGTGCTCACGCTGGATCTTCACGCACAACTGAATCTGTTCAGCACCGCCCAGCCCACGTCTCTCGGCCCCGAGAACCATGGCCTGAACGAGTTCCTTAGGATATGGGCACTGAGTGATCGATGGGGTTCTTCAAGCATGCCAGGCCCTCGGCTGGATAGAATCAGCGCCCAACTCGCCGCTAAGCCCATGCGTATGAGCTATGAAGAGCTCGACGGCGAAGGAATGGATTTTCAGGGCTTGGACTGGGAGGACATAGGCGTGTCGCGCAAGTATGCACGTGAGCGACGAAAACTTACTTACAAAAATTATACTAACAAGCTAGACTCCGATAAGTGGAAGGTGAGAATCTTAACATCCATGATAGAAGTTTATCCCGCTGACATGCTGGGCTGTAGATCCGTCCCTTCGACGGAGCGATCCCTAGTTCAGAGAGCTTCTACAGGTTTCGGCGCATGGATTTACGCCGGAACATTCATCTAGCACATTTCCAACTACGAAATGTACTGGCTTGCGCCGACCGAAGCCACGTCTTCTATCCGGGTAGGAATGTGATTCACCGCATAAACCCCCTGTCTGGCCATTCCGACGTGGCTATGGATTTGAGTGATTTGCATCACGTCCAAATCTCGACACTCGATGCTAAGCATGGCATGCTTGTCGTCGGAACATTCAACGGGGAGTACTGTATGCGTAGTGTCCACTCGCAAGACCCGAGGTTCACGGAGGGCCAGGTCACCAACAACAGCAGTTGCATCACGAACCATCTGCAGATTCATGAGTCGCGTCACTCGAGCAGTCCTTTGGTCGCATTTGCTTCGAATGACCAAGGCTTCCGTGTCATGGACGTCGCTTCGCAAAAATTTACACTGGACACAAAGTTCAGATTTCCCATGAACTGCACCGCTCTTTCCCCCGACGGTCGACTACGCGTCATGGTCGGCGACAGTAATTCGGTCATCATAGCCTGTGCCGAGAGTGGCGGCCCCGTTCAATGGCTCTCTGGCCACCGTGATCATGGCTTTGCGTGTGCTTGGTCCGAGGATGGCTGGACGGTGGCAACAGCAGCACAGGACAAGAGCGTCAAAATTTGGGATGCTCGTCGATGGACCAACTCGAGCGCTAGAGCCACACCTGTGGCTACAATCCGATCAGAGCTGGCCAGTGTTCGCGGACTGCGGTTTTCTCCAGTTGGCAACGGGCCTCCGGTACTTGTTGCGGCGGAAGAGGCCGACTTTGTCAACATTATCAATGCACGCACGTTCCGTCACAAGCAGACGATCGATGTCTTTGGCGAAATCGGCGGAGTAGGATTCACAGATGACGGCAACGAGTTGAATATACTGTGTACGGACCGTCACCGAGGTGGTCTGATTCAGCTCGACAGATGTAACTACGGATCCAAGTCTGAATTCGTAGGCCCTTTTCAGCCAAACGCCATGGACGATATATGGAGGCAGCCTTACCGGTCTGCACTACACGATGAAGAAGGCCTCGACGAGGGCCTGACACGCGGTGGGCCAGCAGGTCCGCGCACCAGATTATACTGGGACGACATGGAACCTTTTTGAAGCATTTTGCATGATACCCGAGCACATACGACGAAATGTCTGATGAGAGAAGACGACTTATGAGGCGCGCATTCATATCCCTGCATTTCAATTTGAACGGCGAAGCATACTTGAGTCTGCGAGCTTGGGGTTGCCGTTCGACATTGTATTTCACAACGCGTGGCTCTGAATCTGCTGTTGCTTTCCCCCGCCCTTATATTGCATGCGGTATGATGGCACTCCTTGTGTCCGCTGAATCATGAACAGCAGCAAACATACACAACGAGCACATGGCTAGACAATGTTTTAGGAGGTAGAGGCGCGCTTGTATAAGATGTAGGAGTTTGGCAGGGAGCATTGATCTTCCTGGCTAGCAAAACCATGAATACATCTCTACGCTGCAGGGACAGAAAAATCAAGCGGTGCCACGTGAGGATTCGTCGTTCCCGTCAGAAGCTTGAGGTGAAACTGGCATAGCGATGATGCTGACAGCTGGAACATTGTAACTCAAGCTGTTGCGGCCGTTCCGTATAGAAACACCAATGTTGAGTAGAGCTATGACAGTTTGTAATAAGTAGATTCGATGCCGGGTCGATATTGCAGAAGAGTGAAGAGACGATGACGACGGTGAAGTCTTCCTTTGCTGCCCCACTTTCCGCGCAACTTCTGACCGTTGGCAAGAAGAATTTGCAGCAAGATGACCTAGTGAAGGAGCCCAAACCAAGGCTTGTGGGCTTTGCTAGATTGTATTGAGTGAATAAAGTTCCAGAGCCTGCAATTCCAAAAGCACCCAAAAGCCGTCCGGCTTTACTTCGTTTCGTGTGCGTTGCAGGCACCCACCGCATGTGGACCGTACGCCAGTCAGTCGGACCCCGCCGCCGGATGGATGTAACTTTGTATGAATCGTTTGGACATGGGGTCTGCTCTCTATTCCCCCCATGACACCATAGCTGTTTGAAGAATCTCAGCACGAGGAAGGATGACCAATCTCCTAGTTTTTCACAGCACAAAGGATAAACCGCGGGCTTGGATTGGCAGAGATCTTTGGCCAGGGTGTATACCGAAGCTGGCTTCACGATCCACGTATCAGACACTGCTGGGACTCCTACTAGCTACAACATAAACATACATGACTGGGCGAGCAAAGCACCCAAGAAGAATGGGAGAATACAAGCATTGGGGGAACATCAGAAGAAACCAAAAGGATGAATCCCCGTGTAAGCTCTTCGTTTTGACCATAGTGTCCAAATCAGCCTGACTGGTGCACGGCGAGAGATCAAGTTGAAACCCCCCGGACACGCATTGGATGAGGCGAGACGGCAAAAAGCTTTTGTTCAATGCAGATGAATCATTTCGAAAGCAGGAGGGAGCGCTTCCCATGCTTGGACTACCGAAACAGGAACATGAGAAAAAAGATATGCAAGGTTCGCCTATATCATCCAAGATTGAGAGAAATATTGGAAATTTTTGCTCCGCTGCACACAACGACTAGCCCGGTGACGAACGTTTCGGAGGGGACGAGATGACCCGAGGACAAGGACATGGCGTTAACAACGTTATGGTCCGTTTCATATACATTGCAAGCTAGTGAGCTATGGGCGGTATGCAGGATAGGTTGTAAATAACAGTCGATATTTGTCTGGCCAAGTGTCGACGCGGATTATGGAAACGTGAGGGATGTACGCCTAGTACGAAGGCGTGTTACCGCCCTCGAAAAGGTCACCGCAGCCCCAGGACTGCTCGCAGCCGCAAGCACCGGGCTCCTTCCACTCATCGTTGTGGAACGAGAAGAAAACGGTCCTGTCACCAACAAGCTCACGAATGGAGGTGATGGCGATAGTCTGCTCAGCCTTACCGGGGGTGGCCTTGCCGTTGGCGCTGCCGCCAGTAGGCCAGCCGCACTCAAGGTTGAGGGCAGGCTTGTTGCCACAGATGCTGTTCTCGAGGATGTCAAGCTGGTTCTTAACGAACTTGCCGGCATCCGAGGGGGCGACCTCAGCGTTGAAGTAGGGGTGAATCTGACCACCGACAACGTCGATGACGGGGCAGAGGGCAGCGGCAACCTCCTTCTGCTCCCAGACGTTCAGAGTCTCGGCAGTGGTGTAAGGGCCCTTGTAGCCGGCAGCGCCGCACGACTCCTTGACGGAGACAATAAGGGTCTTCAGGGAGTTGGCGTCGCAACGGCCCTGGAAGATGCACTCGTTACCGACGACGAAGAGGTCGACAAGATCCCAGTTGCCAGCCTTGCCCCACTGGTTGATGGTGTCGATCTGCTCCTTGACCTGAGGGTTCTCAGGGTTGCAGGTGTCCTTGACGAAGATGCCAATGATCATGCGGAGGCCGTGCTCCTTGCAGGCGGCACCGACGTTCTCGAGGGTGGAGCAGTCGGTGGAGTAAACGCGGACAGTATCAAAACCGGACTGCTTGATGACGGCAATATCCTTGCTGACCTCAGTGGCGGACTTGCAAGAGCCGGAGGCGTCCTGGCTGAAAGGAGTGTAGGTGATGGCCCAGTGGTCACCAGCACCGCCACCGATCTTGGGGGTCTCCTTGGCGGGAGTCTCCTTCTTGGGGGTCTCCTTGGGGGTCTCGGGAACCTCGTAGGCGGGGGTGGGCTCGGGCTCAGCAGCCTTGGTGATCTCAGGCTTGGGGGCCTCGGGCTTGGGGGCCTCGTAGACGGGGGTGGGGGTGGGCTTGGGAACCTCGCTGGTCCAGGGGCAGACGACGACGACGTGCTCCTCGGTGATGGTGGTGGTCACGGCAGGGCGCGTGTAGGTGCCAGGGGTGACGGTGGTGATGATAGGGTACACGACATCCTCCTCCTTCTCGCAGACGGTGACGGTGGGGGCGATGGTGTAGGTACCGGCCTCGGGGCAGACGTACGTGGTGGTCTCAATGACGCTCGTGACGACACCGTTGGTGGTCTTCTCGGTGGCGTAGGGGCAAACAACCGTGGTGGAGCTCTCGACGATGGTGGTGACACCGCCGTAGGTCTGGGTGCCGGCGGGGACCTTGGTGGTGGCCGGAGCGCAGACGGTGGTGGTCTCGCTGACGGTGATGGTGGTGGCCGGGAAGGTGTAGATGCCGGGGGTCTCGCAAACCTCAGCGACGGGGGTGGGCACCTCGAGAGCGGGAACGTAGGTCGAGGTGGGCTTGGGGGGAGGAGGAGGAGGGGCCTGGGTGGTGGGCTTGGGGCTGGGAGGGTTGGGCATCACTGGAATGTTTGTTAGTCGGTACTGGGACGGCATGACCATATCAGATGGTGTCGAGTGTACGTACGGGTGGGCTCGCCGTAGATGGTCTTGTAGATGGTGGTGCAGCCGGGCAGGCAGACCTCGGTGCCGTTGTTGGTCCTTTTGAAGAGGCCGTGGGCGTGACGGTGAGCGCTGGAGGCGCTGACACCGGCGGCGGCGGCCGCGGCGAGGATGAGAGAGCCCTTCATGTTGACTAGGGGAATCGAATTAAAGCGTGGAAGCTGAATTTGTGATTTTTCGAGTTTTTGGCGTTGCGTTGGAACGAATGCCCGCTGAAAGAGTGAAGCGGTGGTGAAGATTAGGGAGGTAAGGGGGGATGAGAGGACGAAACTGTGTTGACAAGCAATCAACTCATTGACGGATGTGTTCGTGAAGAGAAGGGAAAGGAAAAAAGAAGAGAAGAAGGGGGTACAGGTGTGGAGGGCCGGGATGTTATTATTTCCTGGCAGGCCACTTGCTGGGCCCGGGGGTGGTGGGCGTGCGTGTGCTTGGTGCTTGTGCAAGGTCCTGGGTAGCCGTCAAGCCGTGGAGGTGGCCAGTCGAGCTCGAGTTGCCAGAGGAGGGCCCTGCCATGGCTGGGGCGAGACTAGGCGGAGTTGGCGGACAGGGGATAGGGAGATACCCTCATCTGAAGTCGACACCTGGCACGGGTAGGTACGAGAAAGCATGACTGACTGGGTCGGCCGCGGGTTGCAGTGCTTTCCGTCGCTTGTCGGCGATTCTCCCTCGAGACGCGGGACCGGCCTTCACTCTAGCCCTGTGTACCGCGTGGATGCAGGTGAGCACAAGCGGTGATGTACCGTAGACGCTGGACCATCAAACAGAGTACGAACACACACCCCTGCCTCTGTTGTTCCAGCTTCCCTATTCCTTCATCGTCAGCCTTCGCCTCTCGCCCTCTCGAGCCAGGGTGTAGACGCGCTTACAGGTCATCCGGCCCCCGTCTCCTTCCCACCCCCTGTCGGGCTCCCCAGGATGAACGTGGATCCCCTACAGAGCGCTGCGCCGGCATCTCGAAGATGCGAGGTTAGCTCGTGATCCAGCTCAGGTCGGACGGCTGGGAGGCGTTTGCCCATCGCGCATCCGTACCCAAAGATGGGGGACGCATTGACGGCGACTCGACCAGGGGCTTGGGCTGTTGAGGCATGTAGGGCGCTAGGTGCCTCGATCGGGGCGAAGAACGGCGTTTGGCCAAAGACAGGCAAGAGACCAGTGGAGGGTGTTTGATTGACCAAGATTGGGGGGGTGGGCATGCAGCGAGTCGTGTGGATGAGCGGTCGAGCAGTGAACTGGTCGTGGGCTTGGCTCTTGGTCTTGGCCATGATCTTGTTTCTTGGAGGTGGAGGTGGAGATGGGGGCGGTGGCATAGGCAAGAGGCATGAGGCATGAGGGAAAGGGGTTGAAGAGGGGCCCATGGCGAGTTGAACCAACGAGAACGACGTACTGCAGCGCAGGGATGCCTCAAAGTGGAACGCCCTCCATGGACACGAGTGGTCTTGCCGGGAAATTAGCTAAGCGACATTGCTGAAATTTAGGGCCCCTTAGCCCCCACCCCCCCGGTTCCTTCCCTCTTCTCTGGCCTCTGTCATGACGGCGGCCCCTTCGATCATGATGCCGGATTGTCCGCCCGCTTACCTAAATTCTTCATCATATCTCGTCCCACATTCCTGGTGGCTTCAATCTCCCGTAGACGCCGTCTTTTTGTGTTCGCGTCGTAACAATGGCTGTCATCGAAAAGCCCCCGGCGGTAGCCCCATCGTCACACCT